CCCACTCACCCTCACACTCGCACTTGCACTCACACTCGCACTCGAACTCGCACTCGCACTCAAAATCGCTCTCGCAAAAAAACAAAACAAAAAGAAAAATAAAAAAATTGCACTCGCACTCACACTCGCACTCACACTCGCAATCGGACTCACACTCGCACTCTCACTCGCACTCAACTCCCACTTGCCCTCACACCCGAACTCGCACTCACACTCGCACTCGCATTCACACTCGCACTCGCACTCACCCTCACACTCGCACAGGCACTCGCACTCACACTCACACTCACACTCGCACTCACACTCGCACTCGAACTCGCACTCGCACTCAAATTCGCACTCGCAAAAAAACAAAAAAAAAAACAAAAAAAAACAAGAAACAAAAAAAACCAAAAAATTAAAAATAAAAAAATAAAAAAATTGCACTCGCACTCACACCTACACTCGCACTCACGCTCGCACTCGCACTCACCCTCACACTCGCACAGGCACTCACACTCACACTCGCACTCGCACTCACACGGCACTCGAACTCGCACTCACACTCAAAATCGCACTCGCAAAAAAACAAAAAAAAAACAAAAAAAACAAATAACAAAAAAAACAAAAAAAAATAAAAAATTAAAAAAATTGCACTCACACTCGCACTCACACTCGCACTCACACTCGCACTCTCACTCGCACTCAAACTCCCACTTGCCCTCACACAGAATTTACACTCACACTCGCACTCGCATTCACACTCGCACTCACACTCACGCTCGCACTCGCACTCACAACGCACTCGTACTCGCACTCGCACTCAAATTCGCACTCGCAAAAAAACAAAAAAAACAAAAAAAACAAAAAAAAAACAAAAAACAAAAAAATACAAAAAAAACAAAAAAATAAAAAAATAAAAAAAATTGCACACGCACTCACACCTACACTCGCACTCACGCTCGCACTCACCCTCACACTCGCACAGGCACTCGCACTCACACTCGCACTCGCACTCACAATCGCACTCGATCTCGCACTCGCAATCAAATTCGCACTCGCAAAAAAAAAACAAAAAAAAAACAAAAAAAAAACAAAAAAACCAAAAAACAAAGAAAACAAAAAAAATAAAAAAATAAAAAAAATTGCACTCGGACTCACACCTACACTTGCACTCGCACTCACGCTCGCACTCGCACTCAACCTCACACTCTCACAGGCAATCGCACTCACACTCACACTCGCACTCGCACTCACACTCGCACTCGCACTCAAAATCGCACTCGCAAAAAACAAAAAAAAAAAACAAAAAAAAAGAAAAAACAAAAAAAACAAAAAAATAAAAAAATAAAAAATTGCACTCGCACTCACACTCGCATTCACACTCGCACTCACACTCACACCTGCACTCACACACACACTCGCACTCACGCTCACACTCGCACTCACACTCTCACTCGCACTCACACTCGCCCTCACACTCTTACTCCCGCACTCGCACTCAAACTCAAACTTGAACTCTTGCTCGCACTCGCACTCACACTCGCACTCACACTCGCACTCACACTCGCACACTCGAACTCGCACTCGCACTCAAAATCGCACTCGCAAAAAATACAAAAAAATACAAAAAAAAACAAAAAAACAATAAAAACACAAAAAAACAAAAAAATAAAAAAATGCACTCGCACTCACACTCGCACAGCACTCGCACACACACTCGCACTCACACTCGCACTCACACTCGCACTCAACTCACCCTCGCACTCACACACTCGCACTCACACTCGCACTCGCACTCACACTCAAACTTGCACTCTTGCTCGCACTCACACTCGCACTCACACTCACACTAACACTCGCACTCACACTCGCAATTGCACACACTCGCACTCACACTCACACTCGCCTCACACATCGAACTCGCACTCGCACTCACACTCGCAATCACACTCGCACTCGCACTCACGCTCGCACTCGCACTCACCCTCACACTCGCACAGGCACTCGCACTCACACTCGCACTCGCACTCGCACTCGCACTCAAATCGCACTCGCAAAAAAACAATAAACAAAAACAAAACAAACAAAACAGAAAAAACAAAAAAAACAAAAAAATAAAAAAATAAAAAAATCACACTCACACTACACGCAATCTCGCACTCGCACTCACAGCACTCGCACTCACACTCACACTCGCACACTCTGCAACTCACCACTCACACTCACACTCACGCTCACACTCGCACTCACACTCGCACTCACACTCGCACTCACACTCGAACTCACGCACTCGCACTCAAACTCTAACTTGCACTCTTGCTCGCACTCGCACTCACACTCGCACTCACACTCGCACTCACACTCACACTCACACTCACTCGCACTCGCACTCACACTCCCTCTCGCACTCACACTCACGCACTCGCACTCAAATTCGCACTCACACTCACTCCCTCTCACACTCACACTCACACACGCAATCACTCATAATCACACTCACACTCGCACTCACGCACTCGCACTCAAACTCGCACACACACTCACACTCGAACTCACACACACTCACACACAAACTCACATCGCACTCTCACTCGCACCCACATTCGAACTCGCACTCACACTCGCACTCGCATTCACACTCGCACTCACGCTCACACTCGCACTCACCCTCACACTCGCACTCGCAATCACACTCGCACTCGAACTCGCAATCGCACTCACACTCGCACTCGCAATCACACCCACAATCGCACTCACACTCGCACTCGAACTCTCACTCGCACTCACAGTCGCACTCTCACACTCGCACTCACACTCCACTCGCACTCGCACTCACACTCACACACTCTCGCACTCACACTCACACTCGCACACACACACTCACACTCACACTCTCATTCACACACTCACACTCACACTCACACTCCCACTCGCACTCACTCTCGCACTCACACTCGCACTCGCACTCAAACTCACACTCACACTCGCACTCACACTCGCACTCGCACTCACATTCACTCTCGCACTCACACACTCACGCTCGCACTCACACTCACACTCACACACTCACACTCGCACTCACACACTCACACTCGCACTAACACACACACTCGCACTCACACACACAACCACACACACTCGCACTCACACTGGCACTCACACTGGCACTCACACTCACACTGTCACTCATTCTCTCACACACACTCACACACACACTCACACTCACACTCGCACTCACATTCACACTCGCACTCACACTCCACTCGCACTCACACTCACACTCCCTCTCGCACTCACACTCACAGTGGCACTCACACTCACAGTCACACTCGCACTCACACTCACACTCGCACTCTCACTCGCACTCACACTCGCACTCACCCTCACACTCGCACTCAGACTCACACTCACACTCGCACTCAGACTCACACTCGCACTCACCATCACACTCACACTCATACACACTCGCACTCACACACTCACAGTCAAACTCGCGCTCACACTCGAACTCCCACTCTCCCTCGCACTCGCACTCAAACACACTCACACTCGCACTCACTCTCGCACTCACACTCGCACTCGCACTCAAACTCACACTCACACTCGCACTCACACTCGCACTCGCACTCACATTCACTCTCGCACTCACACACTCACACTCGCAATCACACTCGCACTCACCATCACAATCACACTCGCACTCGCACTCACACTCGCACTCACACTAACACTCCCTCTCGCACTCACACAGTTGCACTCACACTGACAGCCACACTCGCACTCACACTCACACTCGCAATCACACTCGCACTCACACTGTCGCACTCACACACGCACTCACACTCAACTCACACTCACACTGTCACTCACACACTCACATTCGCACTCACACTCACACTCGAACTCACACTCACACTCGCACTGGCACTCACATTTGCACTCGCACACTCAAACTCGCACTGGCACTCACACGTGCACTCGCACTCACACTCACACTCACACACTCTCACACTCACACTCACACTCGCACTCACACTCTCACTCAAACTAAAACTCACACTCACACTCGCACTCACAACCACACTCGCAATTACACACACTCGCACACAGACTGACACTCACACTCGCACTCACACTCAAACTCGCACTCATAATCGCACTCACACTCACAATCGCACTCACACTCACACTCGAACTCACACTCATACTCTCACTCACACTCGCACTCACACTCACATTCACACTTGCAATCACACTCGCACTCACACTAACACACTCACACTCGCACTCACACTCGCACTCACACTCACTCGCGCTCGCACTCAAACTCACACTCTCACACTCACACTCGCACTCACACACTCACACTCGCACTAACACTGACACACTCGCACACACACTCGCACTCACACTCGCACTAACACTCGCACTCACTCTCGCACTCGCACTCGAACTCACACTCGCATTCGCACTCACACTCACACTCGCACTCACACTAACGCACTCACAGTCGCACTCGCACTCAAACTCACACTCACTCTCACACTCACACTCGAACTGACACTCGCACTCACAATCACTCACACTCTCACTCGCAATCACACTCAAACTCACACTGACACTAGCACTAGCACTCACAATCACACTGACACTCGCACTCACACTCACACTTGCACTCTTGCTCGCACTCGCACTCACAGTCACACTCACATTCGCACTCACACTCGAACTCACACTCACACTCACACTCGCAGTCAAACTCACACTCGCACTCAAAATCTCACTCACAAAAAAACAAAAAAAAACAAAAAAACAAAAAAATAATAAAAAAATAATAATTGCACTTGCACTCACACTCGCACTCACACAGTCGCACTCTCACTCGCAATCAAACTTCCACTCACACTCACACTTGCACTCGCACTCACACTCGCACTAGCACTCATACTCAATCTCGCACTCGCAATCGCACTCAAACTCCCACTTGCCCTCACACTCGAACACGCACTCACACTCGCACTCGCATTCACACTCGCACTCGCACTCACGCTCGCACTCGCACTCACACTCGCACAGGCACTCGCACTCACACTCGCACGCGCACTCACACTCGCACTCGATCTCGCGCTCGCACTCAACATCGCACGCACAAAAAAACAAAAAAAACAAAAAAAACAAAAAAACCCAAAAATAAATAAATAAATTAAAAAAATGCACTCGCACTCACAACTACACTCGCACTCGCACTAACGCTCGCACTCGCACTCACCCTCACACTCGCACAGGCACTCCCACTCACCCTCACACTCGCACTTGCACTCACACTCGCACTCGAACTCGCACTCGCACTCAAAATCGCTCTCGCAAAAAAACAAAACAAAAAGAAAAATAAAAAAATTGCACTCGCACTCACACTCGCACTCACACTCGCAATCGGACTCACACTCGCACTCTCACTCGCACTCAACTCCCACTTGCCCTCACACCCGAACTCGCACTCACACTCGCACTCGCATTCACACTCGCACTCGCACTCACCCTCACACTCGCACAGGCACTCGCACTCACACTCACACTCACACTCGCACTCACACTCGCACTCGAACTCGCACTCGCACTCAAATTCGCACTCGCAAAAAAACAAAAAAAAAACAAAAAAAAACAAGAAACAAAAAAAACCAAAAAATTAAAAATAAAAAAATAAAAAAATTGCACTCGCACTCACACCTACACTCGCACTCACGCTCGCACTCGCACTCACCCTCACACTCGCACAGGCACTCACACTCACACTCGCACTCGCACTCACACGGCACTCGAACTCGCACTCACACTCAAAATCGCACTCGCAAAAAAACAAAAAAAAAACAAAAAAAACAAATAACAAAAAAAACAAAAAAAAATAAAAAATTAAAAAAATTGCACTCACACTCGCACTCACACTCGCACTCACACTCGCACTCTCACTCGCACTCAAACTCCCACTTGCCCTCACACAGAATTTACACTCACACTCGCACTCGCATTCACACTCGCACTCACACTCACGCTCGCACTCGCACTCACAACGCACTCGTACTCGCACTCGCACTCAAATTCGCACTCGCAAAAAAACAAAAAAAACAAAAAAAACAAAAAAAAAACAAAAAACAAAAAAATACAAAAAAAACAAAAAAATAAAAAAATAAAAAAAATTGCACACGCACTCACACCTACACTCGCACTCACGCTCGCACTCACCCTCACACTCGCACAGGCACTCGCACTCACACTCGCACTCGCACTCACAATCGCACTCGATCTCGCACTCGCAATCAAATTCGCACTCGCAAAAAAAAAACAAAAAAAAAACAAAAAAAAAACAAAAAAACCAAAAAACAAAGAAAACAAAAAAAATAAAAAAATAAAAAAAATTGCACTCGGACTCACACCTACACTTGCACTCGCACTCACGCTCGCACTCGCACTCAACCTCACACTCTCACAGGCAATCGCACTCACACTCACACTCGCACTCGCACTCACACTCGCACTCGCACTCAAAATCGCACTCGCAAAAAACAAAAAAAAAAAACAAAAAAAAAGAAAAAACAAAAAAAACAAAAAAATAAAAAAATAAAAAATTGCACTCGCACTCACACTCGCATTCACACTCGCACTCACACTCACACCTGCACTCACACACACACTCGCACTCACGCTCACACTCGCACTCACACTCTCACTCGCACTCACACTCGCCCTCACACTCTTACTCCCGCACTCGCACTCAAACTCAAACTTGAACTCTTGCTCGCACTCGCACTCACACTCGCACTCACACTCGCACTCACACTCGCACTCGAACTCGCCCTTGCACTCAAAATTGCACTCGCAAAAAAACAAAAAAATACAAAAAAAAACAAAAAAACAATAAAAACACAAAAAAAACAAAAAAATAAAAAAATTGCACTCGCACTCACACTCGCACAGGCACTCGCACACACACTCGCACTCACACTCGCACTCACCCACGCACTCAACTCACCCTCGCACTCACAACACTCGCACTCACACTCGCACTCGCACTCACACTCAAACTTGCACTCTTGCTCGCACTCACACTCGCACTCACACTCACACTAACACTCGCACTCACACTCGCAATTGCACAAACACTCGCACTCACACTCACACTCGCTCTCACACACGAACTCACGCACTCGCACTCACACTCGCAATCACACTCTCACTCGCACTCACGCTCGCACTCGCACTCACCCTCACACTCGCACAGGCACTCGCACTCACACTCGCACTCGAACTCGCACTCGCACTCAAAATCGCACTCGCAAAAAAACAAGAAAGCAAAAAAAAACAAAAAAAAGAAAAAAGAATAAAAAACAAAAAAATAAAAAAATAAAAAAATAAAAAAAATTGCACTCGCACTCACGCTCGCACTCACAATCACACTCACACCTGAACTCACCCTCACACTCACGCTCACACTCGCACTCACACTCGCACTCACACTCGCAC